TGTAATTTTTTCAATACAAAAATAACCCCCCACCTCTACAGAGTTTCCAAAAGTATTATGTACACCCCCCAAACCCTCTGGAAACATTTATTTTGGCAAGAAAATGTGTTAAAGTTAAAGTTAACACCCCAAACACGAGGTCGTCTGCATTGCACATCAATGCTGTTTATTCTTGATCATTCGTTTAATACCGTAATGCACCATCTGATCTTGTAATCAGCACCAATCGACTTTAATTCTCAGATGTAATTTTGTCAGGTATAAATTTCCAAACAATTATTTTATACATGGCGTCCTTGCGCTGAGAGAATGGCAAGAAAACTACGGCAAAGTTTTGAAAAACAATATAAGCAAGTGGTTTCATCCTCAACAAAAGTAAAAGGAAAAAAGAAAATATCCTTTGTACTGGCTGGATTTAAACTGGTGACCCCAGGATGGTAGACCAATACTGCCCTCCTGCGTCCTACCAAGTAAACTATCGAAGCATCGCATCAAGACATGATGCAATTATTAATTGTTTAACCCATTGACTCCTGGAGATTTTTCCAAAAACACATTCCCTGGACATTTTCAACCTGGATAAGAGCCACTTAGTTGCAATCTAGTCAAAAAGGCATTTGCAACATCACAGCATACCTTTCTTTCCACTAGCAATATATTTTACGACATTTCTGCTTGGGCATACGCAGAAATAAAAATTTGTGACCTATGTCTTCAGACTTTTTGGTTTATCTATGGCTACCGGCCTTGAAGAGGTCCCAGTCAGTCAATGCATCATAAACAATTTTTTGAAATGAAAGGCAGCCGAAGTGATGAACTGATCTTTCATGTTTGGAGTTGATAAAGTGCTCCCAATAATTGGAGACTCAAAGCACGGTAAAATCATTTGCACACTGAGCTTACAGCGAGCGATTACAGGTTTGCTACCCAAAGGACTTGCTTTACTGGCCATGTTATCTATTTGTGGATATTATTTGCAATGCTGGACTAGTTTAATTCTTTCTCAAATAATTTAAATCAAAAACAAAATGAATAGTTTTAAGGTCAATGACACAGAGATGTTGTCTGCTAAATTTCAGATCTATAGTTCTGATAATCAAGCTAGAAAAGATTGTTTGTTAAATTAGAGAGCAATGCATGGGAATGCTATTACAGAGATTATGTAT